AGATTGATTATCTGTACTTTGCTAATGGCAATATTATTTCCTTATTATTTATAAGTTTGTTTTATATATGTTATTTTTTTTTTTACTTTGACATTCTACTTTGGACCACGCTTTAACCATTTTGGAGTTTCCTATCATGATATCAACAAAATATTAAAAATTAAAATGTAGTTATTTAGTTCTCTTAAATCCAGTAAAATTCTTACTACTTGCCCTGATTAGTGATTCTGGGAGACCTTTCTTTTGGGTTATTAATAGAATTTTTTCCAAACCATAACAATAGCAGATAAACTAAGACTACTTTTGTTACACAAGTTTACAATGATGCTGTCAGGAAGACATCTCAGAAATGAGGCGAGGAAATCTCTGTTCTCTCATTTATTATCACAGAAGTGCAATGAGATAAAAAAATATTTCCAACATTATTTAAAATAGCTCAGAGAATCAAAGAATTCTAAAGCAGTAAGAGGATTTAGACAGATTTCAGAGTATATTTCTTAAGAAAAAGAAACCAAGGGGCAGAGAGGATTCCTGTTTGGTAGAGATAAAAACATACTCAGTTGTTGGACTCCCACCTTCCAGTGAAAGGAGCTTTTGCTGTGGTGGTTCCAAGGTTACCAGGGCTCCCCTTTCTCTAAAGCTGTTTCTGACTCTGGAGTCAGACAAACACTTCTGTGATTTTGGAAGAGTCTGTGTATACTCAACCATTGTTCCAAAAAAGAAATAGTGGCTTTACTTCAGTGAAAAAGGCCACAAAGAGCCACTCCAAGACCAGTATTTGTCACCCATGTCTTCATTCCACACACCTGTAACTCCTCACTCCCCACTCTGTTCCCTAAAAAGGTCAAAATTAAAAAGTACATCCATTCCATGGAGAGCCAGGGCCTCAGCAAAATCTTCCATGTGGCCCAGTGTGGTGGCTCAAACTTGTAATCCTATTTGGGAGGCTGATATCTGGAGGACTGCATTTTGAGAGAGGCCAGGGCAAATAGTTCTCAGATCCCATCTCCAAAATAGAGCAAAATGGATTGGAGGTGTGACTCAAGTGATAAGGTGCCTGCTTTGCAAGTGTGAAGCCTGAGTTCAGATTGCAGACCCACCCCTCAAAAATATAGATAGATAGATAGACAGATAAATAGATACCATACCACCTATCACAGCAGGCAAGCCTTTCCTAGGTTATACTCAGAGATAGAGGTACCTGATCCCAGAAGAAAAAAATGTGCGTCATTATTTCTAGGGTGAAAAAATCAACCTCTACTTTTTATTTTTTTTAAGTCAAACTTTTTGCCTCTTGCTATACCTAGAGATAGCAAGGTAATGCTTTTCAAGATGGGGTAGCTGGAGAAACTAGTGAGAATAGGGTGACTTTAAGGCAGAGTACTTACTTCATTTATTTATTTGCTTTATTTTTTTCCCCCAAGAACAGTCATTATTCTGGCTGTGGTTTGTGGCAATTGCTTTGCTTACTAATGATTTCCTGGGCCCAGTCTTTTCCATATGTGTATATAATTGTTGCTAGTTAGCCATTCTGGAAACAGGAGGGGCATTTATGTAGAACAAAGCTTTCTGAACATTAGGAACTTGTGCTCAATTACCTGCCACTAGAATGCTGAAAAGTTCTGGGAAAATCTTAAAATAACTTTCTTTCTTTTCTTTCTTTCTTTCCTTCCTTCCTTCCTTCCTTCCTTCCTTCCTTCCTTCCTTCCTTCCTTCCTTCCTTCCTCCCTCCCTTCCTTCCTTCCTCCCTCCCTTCCTTCCTTCCTACTTTCTTTCTCTCTTCTTCTCCCTCTCCTTCTCTAACTCCCTCTGTATATGTTGTGCATCCTGAAACAGAAGGAGAGCAAGAAAATTTATATCTGATTTTCTCAGGCAAAAATAAATCTCCATGGTTCCTGGCTTTCTGGATGTTTTAGTGATTAGCTTTGGAGAAAGTTATTTAAATTATTCACTTAAAAGAAAAATTCTGGTGACACCTACTACCCTCCCCCAATGACCATTGTTAGGAGTCAAGATCATTCTGTTATACTTTTAGGTGGATTCCAGAGGTAGCAGTCTCCTTGTATCCAATAGGAATGGCCATGGTCACTCCTTCTTAAGGTTTAAGAAAACATCAAAACCACAAAGAATGTTTGAAATTATTTTCTCTTGGTTGGCGGGATAAATGCCTTTCTTTCCTCAAGGAAAATGCCTTAGGCCAAAACAAAGCCACAGTCATCCAAATACGTTGCTTAGTATTTGCACAGACTTAGATTTATATAAAATTTACTTTCAATGAAGGATTTCATTTTTCTAGGAAAGGTTTAAAAGCAGAATGGGACAGGAAGACCAGCAGAGGATAAAGTGTTAAAAAGAATCAACTATGCCAAGGGCAAAAGCAGTTCAAGCAACAGCAATGCAAGTACATTGAAGGGAAACCAGTCAATGTGCATGTGATTTTTGTCTAGGGGTCGTTCAGGAGCACCTGGCTGGCTTTATTTATAAGGCGATTGTCAAATCAATCTGTGGAATATGGATGAGGTGAAACACAGAGGTGGAGTATTATTTTAGATCATCTGTAACTTTTCAAACACAGCCTTCGTGCTGAAATTCCTGGGAGAATGTAAGTGAATGCAATAAAGAAACCCGTCAGTCAGTCAAGTGTTTATTTATTATCCCCTGTGCCAGGCACTGTTCTCACCAATATGAAATGATACAAAAGAAAGCATAGTCATCACCCCTATAATCTCGAGTGGATTAAATCTGCAGACACACACATACACTAAGTGGGTGGTCAGGAAGCTCAACTGTATGGTTATGCAATAAGCTCACTTAGAAAAATCCTGACGAGGAAACCAAACCTAGAAAATTAGAAAGACTAAAGGAAAATGAATTATATTACAAATAGATTAAAATGGATTCATAAGGCATGTCTTTTATGACTCCTGTGGCTATTAAAATTGGGAACATTCCCCTCCTTCACAAATTCACAAAACACTTTTGGAAGACATTTATTGTGCAAAGATGGATTCTCCCTGATGCCCAGAAGTCGATAATGAGTAAAATAACAAAGCTGTGTTCACCATACTAAAAATTCTTAAAGCCAAAGCCAAAATTTATTTAACTTTATATCCAGCACTCTGAAAATAGATAAAAGAACGAATGGATGAGACAGATTGGTATAGATTTCAAAGAGGTGGAGACCCCAGAAAAATTTTATTTTTTGGTGCTGGGATGGAACCCAGGGCCTCCTGCATATTAAGCAGGTGCTGTACCACTGAGCTACATATCCAGTCCCCAAATTTTAAGAGGGAAAAAGAAAAGGACTAATATTCCAAGCAGAGAGGTCTGGTTGGTGGCAACCAAGTAGAGAAAGAACTTGGCATTTGGTTTGGTCCATTAGTACATCCCTGCCCCAAAGCTACTCCTTGGTTTTTGGAACATTGTTATCTTGATTCTGTGTTCCAGTCCAAGCAATTGAACATTTTGCTTGTTTAACAAAAGGTTGGGTACAATTCTGATTTGCCTGTCAGGGCACTTACTTGCTTGGTATTAAGGTTTTTTTTTTTTTTTTTCTTTTTTACATTTTGAATCCATTACCCCCAAAGCTGCTTCTTCTTTTAAAAATACAGCTTTCTGACTCTGTGCTTGTGCTTTCAACACTTTCCCAAAGATTTTCTGCTCCTCTGTAAGGAAAGCATGCTCCATCCTGTCACGGACACATGCATCACACATGGCAGCACCTAGGCCCGGTTGACATGTTTTTCTCTTTAGACAGTCTCCTAAGAACTTTAGGTCTCAGCAGGAACCCTCAAAGTCACTCTGGGCGCAGGCCACACATGGATTTTGGTGCTTTCTCCACCTTCTTGGTATCAAGACTCACAGTTGTATTTCCAGAGCCTAGGAAGGTGTATCCAACCAGGGGCCACTGCGAGTGCCCCTAGGCACAGTGTGTGTGTGTGTGTGTGTGTGTGTGTGTGTGTGTGTTTGTGTGTGTGGTGATCCCAATATTATGCTGCCCTATTAGTGTGGAAACCACACCAGGCCTGGGATTTGTCTGTTGTCACTGCCACAGTCCCAGCGCCCAGCACAGTAGGTGCTCAGTAAATGAACACTACTGCTCCACAATTTTCCTTTACTTTTGCTTTTTGGATACTGCTTCAGAGCACATAGAAGTGGGGAATCTTTGAAATGAAGGGTCCCTTCTTCCTTCAATCCACAGACTCTGGCCACCGGTCTCAGCAAAGCCCTGTGGGAGTAGGGGTCCCCTCGTTAACGAGGGGTGAGTCAAAGCTGCAGAGCTGCGGGGAGGAGCTGAGCAATTCTCTCCCACTTCTTCTGGCCTCCGCAGCACCCTTCGGCGGCCCGCTTGCTCCTTATTTGGGGTTAGGGGCGCCGGTGGAGAGGCAGCCAGGGGACGCCCAGGCGACATTCCTCGGCGCGCCGTTTGGGTTCCGTCTGCGGCGCGCCCCGCAGCACCCCGTCTGCGCCAGCACCTGTTGGACGGCCAGCTGGCGGCCCGACCCCCGGCCGCCCCGCGCCGCCCGCGGGACCGCGGCTCAGGTCCCCCCCCCGCCGCTGGGGGAAGGTGGAGAAGGGGAGGGGACAAGCGAGGTCCTCCCGGCCCGCCCGGCCTTCCCTCTCCAGCCCGGGTGGAGACGCCGCCGCGCCCCGAGGTTAGAGCCGACCCGAGGCGTGGGGGAGGGGACCGCCCGGAGCCCGCGGCCACCCCGAGCCCCCCGGCTTCCAGCAGCGGGCCGCGTGCCCGCACAGGCTGAACTTTGGTTGCGGAAAACTGCAGCCAGGTGCCGGGATCCGAGCGGCGGTGGACGGGACCCGCGCCGCGCCCGCGCAGGCAGGACTGGCGAGCCGGCCCCGCGGCCTCCCTGGGCCCGGAGCCCCGGTCCCGCTCCCGCCGCCGCCCCGGGGACCCGCGCGGCGCCCTCGCCGGGTTTCTCCCCCTCCCCCTCGGGGGTGGGGGTGGGGGTGGGGCGGGGAGAGGGCGCTCGGAGAGCCGCATCGATTGGCAGCTTTGTTATTGATCCGAGAGCGCTGGCCGCCGACCGGACTTCCAGACGGGCTCCGCGAGACCCCTGAGTCCTCGCCTCGCCTCGGGCCCCCAAACTGACAGGTGCTCGGTGCAAGTGGCTGGTGACTTCTCGCCGCTCCCCCGGCTCCCCCGCGTCCCCACCCCCCTCTTTCCTCCCCCACCCCCACCACTTCGGCACAGCTCAGGATTTGTTTAAACCTTGGGAAACTGGTTCAGGTCCAGGTTTTGCTTTGATCCTTTTCAAAAACTGGAGACACAGAAGAGGGCTCTAGGAAAAAGTTTTGGATGGGATTATGTGGAAACTACCTTGCGACTCTCCGCTGCCAGAGCCCGCTCGGCGCTTCCACCCCGGGCGGTGGTGAGAGACTCGGAGTCGCCGCTTCCCCAGTGCCCGCCGCGAGGGAGCTCTCGCCACAGTCAGCCAAATGCTCCTCCTCGGCCTTCTCCTGCTGACATCTGCCCTGGCCGGCCAGAGACACGGCACTCAGGCGGAGTCCAACCTGAGCAGTAAGTTGCAGTTCTCCAGCGACAAGGAGCAGAACGGTGAGTGTCCCCCACCCTCCCCGCGCCCTGCTCGAGGCTCGCCTTGCGTTCCCCTTGGGGTGGTGGTGGCGATGCCCACCAGCTGCGGAGCATCTCCGGGTCTCTGCGCGTCCAAATGCGCGCCCCGTGCGTCCGCGTGGACTTCTGGAGGCTGCCTGTAGTTTGCAATCGCCAGCTGCCCCCAACTCTAACCCGGCAGCCTGAGCGCGCTGCAATCTAAGGAAGGAGAGGACAATTCTGGGAGCGATTGTGAACGTCAGATCAAAGCACGTTGTACTGTCGCGCTTTTCCAGAGCTAGAAGTTCAAGAACTGCTGGAAAAAGGAATCTGAAATGAATGAGTCTTGGCATGTTGGACTTCACTCAGATCGTTTTGGGGATTTCAGGAAACATTAGCAGCGCGTTAATTGAAACACTCTAGACGGAACAGCATCAGTTAATAAGTAGATGTGAGATATAAAGTGAAGAGGCTGCGTGGACGTGTTTTAGGAGAATCAAAGAGCGCGTTTATTTCTCTTAGCCCCCCCCCACCTTTTAAACGTGTGCCTTTGTACTCTGAAGTTCTTACCTTTCTGGTGTTGTGTTTTTTGTATGTGTTACTGAATGACTGCTATTTTCTGTGTGCTGGAAACGACTTAACCCTGCATAGGAAATGAGAATTACTTTCAGCTTTCAAGTGTACCTGAAATGTTTAGAAAACTCTCCAATGCAAGTTCCCTTGGGCTGGGATTGCACAGAGCTGGAGAAAGGCTCCTTTCATAAAACCAGGGAGGCTTCGGGGTGTGTAATTTGCTTAGCCTCTGAACCCCAAATGATTTACATCATTCGATTTCTAAACTCTTTTTCTCTTGATCTACCATTATGAAGTCATTCTTGAGACGCCTTTGTAAATAGAAATTTTATACTGCACATGAAACCACAATGTTAATGTAGGCTGCCTAAAATTGGAATATTAAACACCCTGTTTACAAGTGGCGGTTCTTACTGTTCTTTGAAAAGAAATGATCCACGTTTTTCTGCTTTGTATGTCAGCTGTTGACAATGCAAGGATGCTATGGCCGCACCTACCAGGTGAGGCGAACACAAGCAGCATACCTGCAAAATCAGAATGAAGTAAACTCTAGTTTTAAGTCACTGAGACTTTTTTCTTTACATATGGGGGTGCTTCAAAGCATCAAGTATGGATTTGAATTCTGTGAAGTGTTCATCTTTAAGAAAGCACAGGAAGTTCTAGAGTACAAAACTAGACAAAATGAGAATTTCTGGAGCTTTGGTAGACATTATTTGCATCTGTTCCTTGTATCACAAGACCTAGTGTCACATTTTCAGCCAGTATTGTTGTGTTTGCTCCTTGTCACTTACTAATGTGATGGCACCTGCAGGCTCCTTGAGCTGCTGACCAAAGGGCAGCCTAGGGTTCCATCTGCAGTCACAGGACCTCAGAGGGCTGGGAAAGTGATCAAAGAGCCATAGCACCAGCTGTACCCAGGCAGGAAACAGATCAGACCAACCTTTGTTCTTTCTCATGCAAAAAAAAATGTCCACTTTAAACTATTGCTTTTCATGACACTGTGTTCTCCGTAATGACAACAGCGCATGGTCTCCCTGGCTTCTGTGCTTCTGTTTTTTGTTGTTCTGGTCCTGTATCAGCTCCTGCAGTGTCTTCGCATCTCCCAGACTCCCTTGCCACCTGTGTCTTCTCTTGTACTTATAGTAGTTCTTTCTCATTAACTTGCATCTGGCGCCAGAGCTTTCAGACTTGCAATCATTGGCCACCTTACTGAGTAGGTTCATACCTTCAGAAGAGGTGAGTTCATGAAGCCAGGCCAGGAGTACTCTGTTGCCATCTGAGGCTGGGTCATTTCCATTCCTAAGATGCATGATGCTCAAGATAGCCTGGTTGTTTCTCATCTGTGGGCAGATGATTGCCTATGTTTAGCTCTTGGAGAGTTGGCAGAAGGAGGTACTGGAAGTAGAGGAACTATTCACCTTGTAGTTTTTAGCCTAAGGAGAAGTGGGACTGGCTACCACTAGGGGGCAATATAGAGCTATTTTTCTGCACATGCTCAGGTTGAGTTTTATGCTCAATCAAGGTTCCAACCTTTGAGGATAACAGGTGGGTATAAAGAAGATCCCTCTGGAATGTGACCAGATTCAACAACTTCTTCTTCCTCTCCTTCAACTTTAAAATTTTCTATTCCCTTATTTGGGTATTTTTCACCTTCACTGGGCTATGATTTATTTTTGATTCTTAGGTTTCTCTCTATCTAATTATCTTCTGATATTCCCGAGGATACCTCACAAAAATGCTACAGGCCCAGTTTTTGGGTTGCATCATTTTGTGAAAGGTCTTCTAACTGACAACAGGAGATGTGCAGATTGGTCTTTTGTGATTATAAGACCTCATGTTTGCTTTCAAGGACCCCACACCATCCCTTTTCCTGAGTAGCCACACTCTCAAATGGCAGTTATTTAAATCTCAAGTATTAATCATATGTTAATTTGATGTCATCAATGGAAATTCAGTGCTATAGCTTTGCTATATATATATATATATATATAGAGAGAGAGAGAGAGAGAGAGAGAGAGAGAGAGACTGGAACACATGGGCAGGATCCAGAATTAGGGATAAATTTCATTTACCCTGTTGTTAGCTACTAGGTTTTTGATTTAATGTAGGATTTCAGTTTACTGTAAAAAATAGCTTTGTCCTCCAATAATTAAGTTGCCTTTTTTTTCTTGATTTTTTTTTGTTTGTTTTTGGTTTTTAGTGGTGGGAATTGAACCCATGGCCTCATGCAAGCTAGATAAGCACTCTACCACTAAGTCCAATCCCAGCCCTTGCTCCTTATTCTTTATGTTACTTTAAACTCTGAAGTGTCACATATATAAGCAGATTTAACTTAAGGAAAGGGATAAAGATAACACTGAGGTTCTTGGAGGATTCTGGCCTGTAAACTTCACATGAATATGGGAAAAAATAATGGGCATTGATTTTAGATGAGAATGTCTATCATGAGAAGGGTAGGTTCCGGGATGTCGCTTCTCAGTTACAGCAGAAGAAATCATATATATTCAGAAATAAGCAAACAAATAAAACAAAACTTAGCTTATTGTGTCCAATGTGTGCAGCCTACACAGAGGACAGTCACTAAAAATGCATCGTCTACCTTCCATCATTGGTGAGTGATATGAATCTACCCTAATCTGAAATGTGCTTCTTGCATTCCTCATTTTCTTAAAAGTTTAAGTTTTGGTTTAGAATATGACTTTATTAGTTAGGGTTCGCTTATGAGTGTCAATTATTTTATGTTCTTTTTAAGGGTTTTTGTGGCGTGTTGGGCAATTTACTTTGGGAGCAAGGTCCACCAGCAATGCCTTTTTTTGGCATTATCTTGTATTTGGATTTTTTTACCCCTCTTGTTAGTGCCAGTTTTCTCTTCCTACAGCTGCCATGTGCCTGTGCCTAACAAAAGTGTACCCAATGCTCAGTTCTCTGTAGGTGGCAGCTTCAAAGCTCTTTAATTAGCAAATAGGTAATCACATTTTTAGAACAGTGTCCAACAGTAAGTAGCTCTGATTAAGGGCTACAGGGGACTTTCCTACAAGTCACTCTATAAGTTTCAGTGCATGACCTTTGCAATTTTTTTGTTATTTAGAGCCTTTTTTTTTTCTTAAAAAAAAACCTTCTTCCTGGTTTTCTGCCCTGTTTCAGAGAACTGAGGAAGTTAAATAAATAAAGTTACCATTATGTAATGATGAATTTTGTCTTTCACAGTAGGTGTTAAGAAAAAACCCCATTTTATTATATGTTAACTGTTTTTTCCCCTACCATCTGTAATTTTCTACATTTAATCTGAAATACTTTCTATTTAAAAGATGTTCAGGAAGTATGAGCAATCTGTAGGAAGGTTCAGGGACTGCTCTATAATTATTAATTCGTATGTCAGTGAACATCGGGATCAGACTCTAAACTTTGTCTGTGGTGCCATTTTGCAGAGCTTTGTCTCGGTCACCCAAATCATACCTTTGTCTCTTCTCATTTCATCCTTCAGGATGTACTTACCTCTTACATATCTTCTTTATGTTCCCTCTTCTTTATGCTTCTCAACCTTTGTAGTGCTAAGATTCTTAGTTTTACCTCCAGACTTTCATGTCTTTAATACAAACAAAATTCAAACAATGTGATGCATTAAATAAGAATGAATGGAGACATTCATCTACACTATAAAACAAAATAAACTCACAAAAACCAGAAAACCCTCAAGTCTACTAAAATTTTCCCATAGGTTTTGCTTTGTGGTAGTCAACATGGTCATGATCAAAGTCCTTTCATTGGCTTACTCTAATTTTATTGTTTATTACCTCATGTAGCTCATTTCTTAAACAGGTCCTATGCCCACGACTTGAGGGACCTATAATGAGGAAGGGGTATGCATGGCTTCTTCCTGGCCTTTGTCCTGCAGCTCCTTTGGCTTTAGCTTCCCAAGGGTCAGGACCTGGGAAAAGATGGAGAGAGTATGCTTGGTTGAACTTTCCTGTCATCTACACTGAATGGATCACTTTCCCAGACAGATCTTTTTTCTAACCAATTAGTCAGTTAGTCACCCCTTGCTGTCTCTTCAAGGTTAATTAACTATATAGTGTTTACCGTACTTTGATACTATTCTTGTTGTTCCTTAATTCATTCTTTTATTGTCTACATAGCCTTCCCTACTCCCACTATGAATTCTAACAGCGTGGGCCTTGTCTGACTTGCTCTCTGGAGGAGCTACAGCACCTGGAACACGGTACAGCAATGGTGTGTGCACAGGAATTAGCTGTTGAATGGTTCTGTATGTGCGGTGACTTAGAGAAAGACTGTCCTGTCTACAACAGGGAGTTCACTTCAAAGTTCTGTTTTTGGTCTTCGGATTTCCACACTGCTTGGCCTTTTTCATAGGAAGATCAACTTGTAAGTGATGGGATGTGCCAGAGTACTACTTTATAATCTTGGGAAAA